AACTCGGATCTTTGAGTTTCTTCAACCGACGGGAGCGGCTTCAATTCAGCTGCGATTTTTGTAGGCTCCGCTGTAGGAGCGGTCACTTGATGCCGAGAGACCCCCGAGTCAGTCCTCGATAAACCCGTACTGGAGGCCTCCTTAGTCGTCCCCGACTCCTTCCTGTTGATATTCCCCTTCAGCCCACTTTCCACAGGAGACCGTTCCTCACTGACTGCCTCTTCAAGAGGCACTGTGGGGACAGGTTCGATGGTGAGGGTGCCTTGTCTACAGCCCATGAAACAGTAGATTATGGCCTGTAAACGAGCAACGTCCACCTCAGCAGCCCCTTCCCTCCTAAATTGTTATACGAACTAAACAACGAATTGAAGAAAACCTACAATACTGCCACAGCGAAGATCGATATGCACCCTGTACTACTCATCGCGCTACACCTATATATATCTATACAGTAATCTCCATACATATTCACTTCTGTACGCAATCATCATCACTCGAGATAGAGATAGTACATACTCGAAAAAAACCGGCTTAGCAAAATTGAACATTTCTCCAAGATCAAATGGTGTTGCGGATAGAATGTTCCGCTCTCTATGAATGGTCCAAAGTTCAATTCCTCGTATATTCTATTCAACCGTCTTCCATTGTCAAGGACGCCGCTTATTATCTCGCGCGCCAGTGAAACTCCTACACCCACTTTCAAGATATGTACGTCACAATCCCTTATTAGCTCGGAAACAGGTTATTGAGAAGTAGACACCTACTCAAGAACAGGAAGACCTTCGTCCTGGTGTATCAAAATTTCGACTGGATTTTTTCAATTTTTCGAGGATGCAATTCGAAATTCACTGTTGAGTTTTTAAAAAAATATTTATTCAAATAGCAGTTTCAATAGCAGTGTTGATAAGCACCTTGAGATACCTTGAAGACGGTGCTATCCCTCGAAAACCACTGAAAATCGCCGAGGCGACAGATCATGGTCTTCAGGAGTTAAGCGGCCATCCCACTGAACGCGACACCGTGGATGACGCACACAGTACTATTCAGACGATGTGGAAATAACGATCAAGAAAAGTTTGGACAGTCCAGCTGGCTAAGTGAAATCAATCCTCCTTTCGAGCCTTGACACAGCCAGGCGCTTTGCTCTCGTCTTCAACGACTTTCACCTGATCAGCAAAACTTCACGAATCAACAATGTTTATCTAATCCTCACGATCTCCGTATGATCAGCCTCTGGCCCTAGCTTGCTCAGAGCATCATTGACGAGCTTGAGAGCTAACTCCGACATAGGGTTATAGATACCCTCACCCTGATGTTAGCATTCGAGACGGATGAAGACATAGCCGATCCGCCTACCTCCATGAGTTGAAGTGCGTTGGCTACATCCTTCTGGAGACCGGCCATATTGAAACCATAGTCGAACTTGCCTGAAATATCAGAGTACAACCAAGTAGGAGGTCGTCGAAAATCGTGAGGACCTACGAGTAAGAATATTCTTCGGGAAACGTCCCTGTAGGACAAATGTGCGGCCGCTAGAAGTATCAATAGCATTCAGCGCCGCTTCAACATCCACCCCAGCCTTCGCTAGAGTGACCATTGCCTCGGACCCCATCAGCAAATTAGCCGCAAGAAGGGCATTGTTAACAGACTGGCAGAGAATCAGTCCAACTCGCATCATAGTGACGAGCGACTCACCTTAACAGCATGACCACTACCAACCGGTCCAAGGCCGAATACATGACCACCAGGAGCACCGGACCAGCAACTTATCAACTGACGTACACCTGAAGTACTGACCCATCCCACTGGATGCCACTGCTGACCTTACCCGACTCCTGATCGTCGACCACTGAAGGATCCTGCGATCCCACCATAGATGTCAATACACCAGCTTTAGCTCCCTGCAAGGAAGGATGACTACGCCAAAGGGCAGGCAACTCACATGAGGGCCACCACTGACTGCACAGTCGGTGAAGACAGTTTCTCGGCGACTAACAGAATCTGCAGCTGAGGCGACACGTAGCTTCTCCGCGATAGCCTTCGTCAGTGGCGGGAACCCACTGGTACAATCGATCCAATGAAACTTCGACCCTGAAATTAAGGAAGAATAATTCAGCACTGTCAGCGACGAGAGCTCACGATTCTCCTCTTTGAATGGAGCTTCGAGCATGCTAGCATCACCAACAATAATATCGGCGAGCTGGGAGACCTCCTTAGAAGTTGGGACGCAGGTGACCATATACAAAGATGATACAGAGCGATTGGCCTGACAAACGACATTACTACTGCACGGCTTGGTGGTAGTAACAGCATCACCTGCAACCATGAGCGAATTGAGGGGACTGGCTTGGCACCGAGGCCGATGTCAGCTGAAGACTTCAAAGCTCGATCCATCCCTCTAGTTGAGAAAATATTAACATTGTGCCTGACGAAGTGGACGTTAACTGCAACCTAGTAGGATGGACACAGACTACCCTGCGGCGGCAATACGGCGACATAACGGCAGTCCGAGCTTACCCAGACCTATCATCAGCACATTCAGTGGCTTACCACCGGACGATACCACAGGAGTCGACATTATGACAGAGCAATAAGGTAACACACAGCACGAGAAAAACTGACATAAATGAATTGGGACAACCGTGCCGCAAACCCGCTAGATAAACCGGCACGGCTCTCACTCCCGAAGTCATATAGGGATTACTCGCAGTCTTCATCCCGAAGTTGCATTTCATGGACTTGAAATTTAATACAGCATTGATTCAGAGTCTTAACTCGATCGCCTCTCAACACTGGATGCACCGCCTTGAAGATGCCAGAATATAGTCTACATTCCCTCGTCCCTGAGTGAGGTACAAGATAACTTAGTAGCGCTAGATGACACCGTATAACACAACAACATGAGTGTTACATACTAATAGAAAAGAAACGTGATAAGAGATGGTGAGCACTCATCGCAGTGATCACCGTAATACGCCTGTCGATAGAGCCAAGGGTTCGATCGCGTTCACTCCTTCTCTTCCTCCTCAGCCTCCTCCTTCTCATCATCATCACCGCCTTGTACATTGACTTCGATATCCTCAATAATCTTATCGATCAGTTGAGCAGTATCCTTGGGAGCATCAGTCGGCTTTTCGATTTTCTCAATGGCCCAAATAGCAAGAGTCTCATTCTCAGCCAAAGCCTGCATGATCATCTCGTTGATATCGCCAAGCTCCGCCATGTCAATCTCGTCACCCTCTTCCACCTCAACCTCCTCCTTCTCGCCAGAGGCCACAGTAGCGCCTAGTAGACGACAGTCGGCTGCCTCACGCGGAATAGGACACTTCTTACCCTCAGCAGCCTTGGGCTCTTCCACGTGCCCTGGCTCGGCATGCTCAGCCGATTCCTCTTTCCCTTCTCCATCATCCTCCCCCTCGAGACCAGGCAGTTCGATCTCCTCGGTTCCATCGTCAAGAGCGTAACAGTATATCTTGAAGGAAGCCTTTTCGTCGCCAGCGAGGAGACCAGGCAGTATAGTCTCCTTCAAAACCTGTTATGATGACGAGGCCTCAGCAACTACTTCCCCGAATATGCAACAATCCCTACCTTAACACCAGACTCCTCGAATGGACCAAACATGGTGCTCCAGATGAGCTGCCCTCCAACCTTCATAGCCTGACCCTCAGCCTTGCACAGCTTCTGCACATGCTCGGCGCCAGACTCGTCAGCAAGCAGACCGTCGATGGTCGCCTTATCAAGGAACATGTCCACCTCACCTAACCATGGACACTTCACAAGCCCGACTTCAACAATCCAAAACTATCCCTTGAAATAGCTTCAATATATTATTACCAGGCTTGACGATCGCCGGGCACATCTCCGCGGCCTCTTTATTATGATACTCCACCTCCTTGAACATCTCCTTACACATATCAATGGCGCTAGGGGAGTAATCGAGGCCGATGAGCCGACCTGTATAACCCGCCTCACGCATGGAATTGAGGAAGGAGGACACCTGACAGGAAGCAATACTTTCCTAGTGGAGCACTACCTCAAAAAGCATCTTGAGCACTACTGAGCGGAGCGAAGCCCGAGGAGGCTGAATGCCGCAGTCACTGCAACTTACTCCGCAGCCAACATCAACAACAGTGATGTCCTTTTTCTCAGGCAGCAGTTCTCGCATGGCCTCGAAGCTGAAGTGCCACTCATCGGTTGAATCGGCATCGTCATCATCATCGTCGCCCTCTGTAGCCGCCTTCTTGTCTGAGATTACCTCCTCCACACAAGACTAGACGCAGATCGACTACCAGTCTTGTCCCCCTCCTCATCCAGTCTCTGTTTCTTAGCCTTGTAACGTCCCTCCCAATAGCTGGCATCACCATAGCGGCGAAGATCCTCCTCCTCCTCCTCTGCCTCTTGGGCGATCTCCTCAGCTGGTCGCTTCTTGCCGGCCTCTGTGGTCGATGGAGTGACAGTCATTGTGAGATGGCAAGATGGAAGGACTACACTATGTTCCACATCCAAGCTTGGTCACCTCCTCCCCACAACTCGAGATTGCCTAGAAGGCGCCTCAGCCGGGATACCAACAAAAATCAGGAGAGTGTCTAGGAAACTATTCATCACTCTAGTTCGGTGTAGTATAGAGGGCCCAGGCTGCTGTCCATATAACCATTAGTCCATTCTGCCCTTCAGTGTTTTAGTAATCAACTACCAACAACAACATCATCACGTGGAGAAGTGCTCGCGTCTATGAACCCACCTCCTTATCGGTGAGTATATACACCATACCGCCCCAACCAGAAAGGCAGTCACGGTCTATACCCGATAGCAACGATTGGCCGAGGACCTACGACAAGCCATATCGTCATACAGTGACACACCTTGAAGCCTACCTCGGCGAGCTCCTCAGGGCCCATACCTTCTCTCCAGAAACTCTCAGCTACACCCATCAGCTGTTCAGTAGCCGTACCAGAGACAATGAAATCGGGAGCTGTGGATTCAGTACCTGATAAAACTTCACTCTAGAGCGGGAGATATCATCGACGAAGCGCAA